CCACAGGGCCGGCACTGGTTGCACTGGTGGCGCAGGGTTTGGCACACGGGGATGTGGTGGCTGCAGGGTGAGGGGTGGCCTGTGTCTGTGGTGAGCCCAGCACACTGCTGACAGACGAGTGGGCGCTGTCCCCAGGCATGGCTGAGGTGTTGCCACTGTGCCTGGACAGCCCAGCCCTTCCCAAGGGATGGGAGCAGTTGGGAAAGCGCCCAGTGCAGCCATGGCTTCCCTCAGCCCCACACTGAATGAGTGCTGCTGGAGACTGGGGATGGCCATTCTGGGAATCCTCTTCCCTAGTCCCTGCTCGTGTTGGTGCCACTTTCACCTTTCCAGAGTAAACTCTGTTGGCACTTGCTGGTGCCCACGTGGGCACCACGCCCCCCTGACCTTCAGTTTAAATAGCCTGTCCGCATGCCCCCACACCCCGGTATTTATAGAGTGCGGTCAGATTCCCTCTCCTGGCCGTGCCAGGTGGGAGAAGCTCCTCTGTGCCAGGCAGTGGGTGACCTCTGCATGTCCCTGGCTGCTCCCAGCCAGCACCTTTCAGTGGGGACATGAGCCAGGATGAACTCTGTGATAGTGCCCAGCTCCTGTTCCATGCCCTGCAGTGCTCAGGGGACTGGCAGGGCACGGGGGAGCCCTGCAGGGTGGGGAGCTGCCTGTCCTGTTGGATGGGGCAGAGCAGGGAGCCCTGCCAGCCACTGCCAGCAGCCAGGCCCCCTCCATACTCTGAGTGCTGAGCAGGAGCTCTGGCTTCGGGACTGCCACTGTCCCCGTCACCATCAGCGTCCCTGGTGCTGCCTGGGAGCTTCAGTCCCTGCACTGGTGGAGGGAACTGGGCACAGCTGGGGGCCGCAGGTCGCTATGCAGGGACCCAGGCAGCCTCACAGCATGAGCCAGCCCCATGTCCCAGGCGGTGAGCAAGGCTGAGCTGGCTGCCCTGCCCGCTGGCCCCCTGCAGGTCACTGCCACGTGCGGGGCACTCACATGCCAGACCGCACCTCCTGGCTGTGGCAGCAGCATGACCGCAGGGACCCTGCCACAGCTGTCCCCTGGCTCCCAGTGCCACAGCCTCAGCAGCCCTGGGGCCAGGTGATCCTGATGTGAACTTTCCTTATCACCCGCCTTGAGGGTGCTGCTGGTCACTGTCCTGCACGTGCCAGAGCCCCATCCCTTTGGGGACAGCGGGTGACAGCAGGGCAGCCAGGCAGGCAGTGGGGTTTGCTGTGGGCAGCAGTCCTCTGTGAAGGTGTGAGACCCTGTGAGATGCAGGGGCTGAGTGGGACCGGTCACCCCCACTTACCTCACCTCTCCCTTCCAGTGATCCGAGCCAAGGCCGTCTCTGCTAAAGAGGTGGATTCGGGGAACGATATATACGGGAATCCCATCAAACGCATCCAGTATGAAATCAAGCAGATCAAGGTAATGGGGCACATCAGGTCAGGAGGCTGGGGGGCTGGGGTGGGCCCTTCACCAGCCACTCACTCCTGCCTCTTCTCCCCAGATGTTCAAGGGCCCCGACCAGGACATAGAGTTCATCTACACGGCTCCATCCACTGCCGTGTGCGGCCGGCTGCTGGACACCGGCGGGAAGAAGGAGTATCTGATTGCAGGTGAGCACTGCGGGAGGGCTCGCAGGGGCGTTGGGACAGTGCTGGCCCTGCTGCCTCACGTGCCCTGCAAGATGCCAGATGTGTGCCTGCTCACTGGGCACATTCTGCCCTTGCCCCTCCTGCTCCTGCCCCAGCCCGTGTCCTGGCTGTGCTCAGCAGACCCGAGCCGTGGTGGGGGCAGCTGGGGACAAGCCTCTGCACCCCAGAGGTCACCAGGGACACAGTGAGGGGCCCCAGGCACCATGAGGGTCTCGAGGCCCTGGGGGGACCCCCTTGAGTGGTCTGTCTGGCCTCTCCCCAGGCAAGTCAGAGGGCAATGGCAAGATGCACATCACGCTCTGTGACTTGGTGTCCACCTGGGACTCGCTGACCCCAACCCAGAAGAAGAGCCTAAACCAGCGGTACCAGATGGGCTGCGAGTGCAAGGTGAGCAACCAGGCTGCCTCCCACATGCCCCATGCCCCACACCAGGGAGGGTCTGCAGCCCCTAGACAGGAGTGGGCCCCACAGTTAGATGCTGTTCCCTGTCCTTCAGGGGTGATATTGTGAACCCGTGGCTGGGCAAACAGGAAGGGCAGCCCTCCCTCTGTCTTCCTCCAGCTGGGACCCAAGGCCAGCCCTGGGACTGGCAACCAGGGGTTCCCCAGTTCCCTGTACTGGGGTTGCATCCCCACCGTGTCCCACAGGGCAGGGTTAGCCTGGCACCCCTGCCCAGAGCTGGGAGGGTGGATGAAGCAGAGCATGCACCCCCCCGGCCCAGTGGCCCCTCGGGTTGGTGGGTGACAAGTCTCTGTTACGCACAGATCTCGCGCTGCCTCTCCATCCCCTGCTTCGTCTCCTCCTCGGATGAGTGTCTCTGGACAGACTGGGCGATGGAGAAGAACAACGTGGACGGGCGGCAGGCGAAGCATTACGCCTGCATCAAGAGGAGCGATGGCTCATGCGCCTGGTACCGCGGCATGGCCCCCCCCAAGCAAGAGTTTCTCGACATCGAGGACCCCTAAGCCAAACGAGCGCATTCCAGTAGCCAGTAGAAAAAACCTGCGAGATGTTAGACTGGTCCACGCTGATATCAAATCCTGGAAACAGCATGAAAATCCACTCGGCTGCAGGGGGCCCCGGTGGCTGGCACACATGTGTCAGGGACAGGGACTCGCTCTGGGTAGGCTCCTGGGAGCCCGCAGCCACACTGGGCATCCTTTGCTCGTGGCAGGGATGAGCAGGGTGTGGGGACCTCCCTGCCAGGGTCACGATCCCCCAGCCATGCTTGGCTCTGGCAGCTGTGAAGGAATGAAGCCCTTGTGAGTGGTGGGAGCTGCCCTGGCTGCGTAGCAGGTCTACCAGTGCCCCGCTGCGGGAGCCTCCCCCACAGCTCCAGACACACAGTCCTCCCCACTGCAGCACCTGGCAACCCTGCTGCACCCCTCCACCTCCTACCTCTCCCTTCGGGGTGCCAGAAGGGTACCCCTCTGGGCAGGGGCTCTGGGGGGCTTTACTATGTGGCAGAAACCCCAGCAAGGGGCTCCAGGCCTTTCACAGGGCCAGATGACTCCTGCACAGGTGCCTTGTCCCAGACAGCTGGAGGGGCAAGTTTGCACATCTGGGGTGACCCCTGACATGCACCTGTGCACTGTTGCCCCTCTCTCCAGATGGTCCTCTCTCCAGGGGTCTCTGTTCCCCTGCAACCTCCTACAGATCCTTCTGCAGCTGCCGCCATTGGACAGGCTTGGCCTGGAACCCTTGGCAGGGCACCAGGGGCCGGAGCTCTGGCTGCACGGGCACAGGGTCCATCATCGCCCCGTGCAGATCTGGGCCATGCCATGGCCCTCAGCACCACTGCAGCCAGGCAAGCCCCCTTCTCTGCAGTGTCGGGAGTGGGGCCTGCAACTGGCAACAAGGCAGCTGCAGGAAAACCTGTCCCCTCCAGTGCCCCCCTCACAATCCCTCGGCCCCGAATTCTCTGAGCCATCCCCATGCCCCAGCGATGCTGGCGTGTGCCACGGAGCTGTCGCGGCACTGCCATGGGAGCGTGCCGGGAATGCTCCCTGCAGCCCTGTGCCAGTGGGGTTTTCATGCTGTGCGTCCCTGTAAGGTTTGAGATGTCGTACTGGACCAGTCTGGGCAATTTCAACATATTAAAGAGAAAAATTAAAAAGAAAGAAAAAGAAAAAAAACCCCAACCTTTACTCAGTCCCGACCGCGCATCCCGGGCGCTCTGTATGGCTGTACCCGTTGTGCTCCTGTCGCTGCTGCTCCTCTGTCTTTGACTTCAATATCGCCACTTGTTTTGCCGCCGGCTCTGTCGTCCCTGTGCCGTGATTTCTGTCTCCTCGTCCGGCGCTGGAGCCGCCCCGGTACCCGCAGAGGGTCCGTGCCGGGAGCTCCAAGGCAAGGGGGAAGAGGGGCGGGGAGCAGCGCTCCGGTTCCGCCGGGATCCCCCCGGACCCAACCGGACCCCCCCGGCCCTCCCCAGCTGCGGAGAGGAGCGATCCCCGCGGGGCCATCGCAGGGAAAGGAACGAGACGGGGCGGGGAAGAGCTGCTGCGGGCCCACCTTGGGATGCCTCGGCAGCGCCGAGGGCGGGATCCGACGGGAGCGGGACCGGGGCGGGGCCGCGACCCGGGTGCCGCATCGTGGCCGGTCCCGCTTGGAAACGTCCCCTCGTGGGACCGTCCGCCGTGGGAGCGGCGTTACCGGCCACTTTTGCCCCGGAGCCGGGACTCGCAGCGGGCGGGCGGAGCTCGTTGGTCCGCCGGCTCCTCCGAGCCAGGGGCGGAGCGTGAGCGGCTCCGGGCCGTGCCGAGCTCTGAGTCTGGGGCGGAGCGTGCCCGGCTCCGGGCCGTGCCCAGCGAGCCGCCGCGGCCGCGCACAGGCAGGGCGGGGCCAGCGGAGCGGGGCCGGCCCTCAGGCCCGGCACGGAAGGAGTTTGTGCCGGCGGCGGGCGAGTGGCGGTGTGGCGACACGTGCGTGCGGTGGGACCCGGATGGTGAGCGCTGCCGGCACCGGGCGGGACGGGCCCGGGGACAGCGGGACCTGCGGCCCGGTCCCGCCGCGCTCCTTTGCCCTGCCGGTGGGGCGGCCCGTGGGCAGCGGAGCGCCGGGACCGGCCGGGCCGCATATGGCGGCGGGGGGCCGCGGGTGGCGGCGGGGGCCGAGGGAGCCGCTGAGGGGTCCGAGGAAGCCGATGAAAGGGCCAAGGGAGCCACTGAGGGGCCCGCTGAGGGGTCCGAGGGAGCCGTTGAGGGCGCCGTGGCGGCGGCCGCTTGCTCGGAGAGCCGGAGCGCGGCGGGAGCGGCCGTGCCGGGCCGGTGCCCCCGGCTTAGCCTCCCCTCTCCTCCCTGTCCGCAGTCGCGGCCGCCGGGCCCGCCGAGCCGGCCTCCCACGGCCATGATCGCGGAGAAGCTGCGGGAGGCGCTGGAGCCGGGGCGGCGGGAGGCGGCGGCGGAGCTGGGCCGGCCTCTGGCCGCCGCCGCCCGCTCCGTGCTGCTGCAGCGCATCGAGTTCGCGCCCGCCCGCCGCGGCCTGGCCGGGCAGCTGCAGCGTCTGCGGGGCAAGTACGAGCACATCGGGGCCGAGGCCCCCCGCCGCCCGCTCGGCACCACCGGTAGCCTTCCGGAGCGGCCGCAGAACCCCTCGGGTAAGTGGAGCGGGTGGAGGGTCCCCCCCGTGCTGCTATCCCCGCTGACTCTCTGCTCCCCACAGGACACGGCCATGCCCTGCCCGGTCCCACGGGTGACGGCATCCCCGCCCCGCAGAAGGTGCTCTTCCCAGCCCAGAGCCTCTCCATGAAGTGGGAGCGGGTCCACCGTGTGGGTGCCGGGCTCAGTAACCTGGGGAACACCTGCTTCCTAAACTCGGCGCTGCAGTGCCTGACCTACACACCGCCGCTCACCAACTACCTGCTGTCCCGGGAGCACGGGCGCACCTGTGAGTGGGGACCTCGGGTCCAGGGGCTGGGAGGGAGGAGCAGCGTCTGCCTGTCCTGCTCACAGTGCCGTTTAGCACCTCTGTGCCTGTCTCTGGTGAGGGAGTGCAGAGATCAGGATGCACCTTTCCTGCCCTGCTCCTTTCTGCCTGTTTCTCTGTGAAGAGGCTGTCCCTGGGTCCTACTCACTTTTCCTGGCTGTAGCAACGTTCCCAAGTTTGGCATCTTTATCTCTGTGAGACTTTGTCTCTGCTGAGTGTAGTAGCCAGGACAAAGATGGGCCCAGTGGCTTCTTGGGGGGTCCTGAATAGCCCCTGACTGTGGGACACAAAAGAGCAATGTCGCAGGTGCTGCTCTGAGCTGTCACATAGGGAACACACAGGCCTTGCAGCCCCGTCCATAGGACTCCTAGTGGGATCTGCCCCTCAAGGCCACCCCATGGGCTTGTCCAGAGCTTACCTGGGACCTGTTTCTATCAATGTGAATGCAGTCTCACCTGGGGAGCTGCCGTGGCTGGTGCTGTAATGGGCTGTGCTGGTTGGGATGGCACAGGATGATCCCCATGTCCTGGACTGAACTCATAGGGAAAACAGAGTGGCTGAGCTGTATTGGACCAGAGATCCCCTGTCCTGCTCCATCTCTTCTGGGTTTGTCCCCAACGTCATGTTGTCTCTCCTGCTGCAGGTGCCCACGGAAGCTTCTGCATGATGTGCACGATGCAGAACCACACGATACAGGCTTTTGCCAACAGCGGCAATGCAATAAAGCCACTCTCCATCATCCGAGACCTCAAGAGTAAGGAGGGCTGCCTCCCCCATGACTAATGTGGGAGCAGAGCTGTTGGGATTGGGGCATGTTTTGGCAAACAAGCTCCACTGAGATGACTCCTGGAGCCTCAGAGTGCCTGGAGACTTCTTGGGCTGCCAGGGGCTTTCTCTGTGACATGAGTCTGATGTCTGGTTTGGGTTGAGGGGACTCAAACCCCAGAGTCCTTGCCCCAGGGAAGGCAGGGAGGGATGGCATCTGTTGCAGCATGTGCTAAGTGCTCCCTCTCTTGCAGAGATTTCCCATAACTTGCGCTTCGGCAGGCAGGAGGACGCACACGAGTTCCTGCGTTACACCATCGATGCCATGCAGAAGGCCTGCCTGAATGGCTACACCAAGTATGTGGGGCCTGAGGGCCCATCACTGCTCTTTGCTGTTCCCTTGCTGGTCCCCTGCACTCACGGGAGTGGACTGTGGAGTGAACATGTGCCCCAGGTCAGCCTTATTGTGGGGAGGTTCTCACTCCAGGGGCCTCGGGTGTGGGGTCCAGCTCTGCCTCTCAGGGAGGCTCTGGGCTGTTGTTCACCTTCTGCTGACTCCTCCACTTCAGCATAGCTGCAGTCCTGCCCCCAAATCCTGAGGCTGCTACAGGTTGGGGTCGCATCCCAGTTGCTGAGGGACACAGGCCTACTTGCTAGCTCAGTCCCAGCCCTGTGGCTGTCGAGGGCAACTTCCTCCAGGCCCTTTGTCCTGGTAAGCACTGCCTGAGCTCCAACCGGGAGCTTCTGGTTCTTTGAGAGGAGCCTGGCGTCAACCCTCAGCTGTGACACAGAGAGAGCAGTCTGGCAGGGGCTGTGCCTTCCCTCTGCCCTTGGGGCTCCACAGCCCAGCCACTGGCCAGAGCATGGAGGGGGCTGTCCTGAGGGGTCCCACAGGGGTGGCTGTTGCAGTGTGAGATCTGGTGCTGCTGTCTCTGTGTAGGTTGGATCGCCAGACCCAGGCCACAACTCTGGTTCACCAGATCTTCGGTGGTTACCTGCGGTCCCGTGGTGAGTACCACCAGTCTGAGCCTGGGCTTGAACAGTAAAACCCTCTGGGAAAATGGCTGAGCATGTTTAACTTACCCAGAGCTGCAGTCACTCAGTCCTGTAGTACGTGTGGGCCATGACCCTGTTGTGGTAATGGGAAAACCCATTGACTTTGGGTCCCCAGCTCACTGCCATCAGCAAAAGGACCCATGTCCCCAGCAGGCAACACCTGCCAGCCCTCCTCCCTGCAAGGCTGCCAGTCCTGGTGCTGGCATCCCAGAGCCCAGACCTGGACTGGGGGGACACTGCAGCTCGCTGTGCTGTGCTGGGGTGTGGCAGGTGCTGGTGCCGTGCCAGGCTGTGCTCATGGCTCTTCCTTTTGCAGTGAAATGTTTGGAGTGCAAGACTGTCTCGGATACCTATGACCCTTACTTGGATGTGACACTGGAGGTCGAGGTACTGCTGCAGGGTTGGGGATGGGGGTCTCTGCTCCTGAAGGGGGTGTTCCTGCTCTGAGGCTCCTTTGCCTGCAGACACAGTGCTGGTAGGAGGGAAGGCAGCCCCTGCTGTTGCACCTCCTTCCCTGTCTCAGAGCAGTGCCTGTTGCCCAAATGTGAGCTGTGACTCCTCCGTGCAGGCTTGGCAGTGTTGTGGGGCAGAGCAGCCACCACCCCGTGCCAGGGGCAGGCTCAGGACTTTGGGGCAGCCTGCAGCAGTGCTGTGTGCTCTTTCCTGGGGCCTCTGCAGGCAGTGGGGCTGTGGTGTGGACAGGCCCCCATGCCCTGACCTCCACCCTGTCCTTGCAGCGAGCTGCAAACATCGTGCGGGCCCTGGAGCTGTTTGTGAAGCCAGAGCAGCTGGGTGGGGACAACGCTTACAGGTGTAGCATGTGAGTATGCGGTGCTGGGGGAAGGCTGCCACAATATGGGAGGGCTTCTGTACCTTTTCTGTAGCTAAGCCATGAGGTGCAGGGCCATGGAAGCGTGTGATGAAGGCTGCTGTTCCTCAGCTCCCTTGTGTTCAAAGCAGGAGCTGGGCCACCAGGCATGGCCATGGGAAGGTGTCTGGAGCAGTGCCTGGTGTCAGCAGCACCCTTCCCACCGGGTTTGCCATTGCTGCATGGCCAGGGTGGGCAGCTGTCTGGATGTTGGAACAGCTGGAATAGCTTGAGCTTTTCCTGGGCAGGTGCAGGAAGAAAGTTCCAGCCAGCAAACGTTTCACCATCCACCGAGCCTCCAACGTTCTCACGATTTCCCTGAAGCGCTTTGGCAGTTGCAGCTCTTCAGGTGGAAGGAAAATCACCAAGGTGAGTGTCCAGTGATCCACAGCCAGGGCTGTGTCCTGGCCCAAGGTCCTGCCCGCTGAGCAGGGCTGGAGGTGGTCCTGGTGCAGTCCTGCAGCCATTCCCCACCTCCCAGTGGGGGAAGTTGGGCTCATCCTGGCATCTTCCTCACCACAGTCTCTGCCTGGGGAGTGCATGTCTCCTCCCTTGAGAGATGGGACTCATAGCACAGCAGAGCTGCTCTTGCTCTAGCAAGAAAGCCATGCCAGCTCCTGAGACATTTTCTTTGCACAGGACGTGGGATACCCTGAGTTCTTGGACATCCGCCCTTACATGTCTGAGCCCAAGGGCGATCCCATCACCTATGGACTCTATGCAGTGCTGGTGCACTCTGGATACAGCTGCAATGCAGGGCACTACTTCTGCTATGTGAAGGTGAGCCTGGGATGCTCCCTTGTCTGGGCTGGGGCCTGGTAGGTGCTCGTGCACCTTTAGGGTGCAGAAAAGAGGGTGCGTAGCAAGGTGGGTGGTGTGGAGCACAGACATGGGGCACAGACTGTGCTCCACTGCAGGAAACGTGAAGGTCTGCCCTGACAGAGTTCCCTGGCCTGCCCCTGGGCCATCTGTGAGTTTTGGAGAGAGCAGCTCTGATGATGGGTGCTGTTCCTGCTGCTCTGCAGGCCAGGAGGGTCCCTGGCCAGGGCCTGACCCTGTTCTCCTCAGACACAGCCTGACAACGTTCCATGTTCTCTTTCCACAGGCCAGCAATGGGCAGTGGTATCGAATGAATGACCATGAGGTCCGCCCCAGCAACATCAAGGTTGTTCTGAACCAGCAGGCCTATGTGCTGTTCTACCTGAGGTAAGAGGCACCCAGTGCCTCCTGGACCCCACCCCTGCCAAGCAGCCCCAGTGCCGTGTGTGTGCTGGCTCAGGGTGGGGCTGGCGGGGGGGGTCCAGCCCCTTGTCATGGTTTGCTGTAGCACCTCACCTCCTCAGAGCCTCTGGGTCGCCTCCTCATGTGTGTCTGCTGCTCACCCACGTTCCCATGGCTGTGCTTTGCCTCCCCAGGCTGTGCAGCCCCAGGAAGAGCTCAGCAGGGCCCATGGCCACGGCTGCCCTCAGCCTGCCCAGCTGCACTGGCAGTGACTCCAAGCTCATGAAGAAAACTGAGATTAACGGGGCCCTGTCTGTGCCACCGATGGGCCTGGTGAGTGCTGAGGGTTGGTGCTCCCAGGAGCTGCTGCTCCTCGGGCACTGGGGGCTGCACCGTGCTGGGAGGTGGATGAGTGGGGAGTGTTGTGCAGGAGAGATCCTGATCCTGCTGAGCCCAGGGATCCTGGCTGGACATGGGGAGGGCAGTATCACTGTGTGGCCCCTTGACTCTCGTCACTCAGCTTCTCTCTTTCTTCTTGTCTAGAAGCAAGACAAGCTGCTGGGGAAGGGGCTGCCAGGCCCAGGTGATGTTGGAGTGCCTGTCGCCCGCAGCTTTCCTGGGATAGGATCAAAGCTGACAAACGGAATTGCTCTGTCAAAGCTGCCCTCTCAGACGCCATCATCCAAACTGCCCCACAAAGCCACCCCACTGGGCTGTGACACAGTCCAGAGGCCCAAGAAGCCACAGACACCTGGCATGCCCAGAGCAGGCTTCCATGCCACCAGCACCATGAGTGGGGCCAAAGCAGGGCTGCCCCCACAGGGCTCAGCCAGTGAGAAGCCACCTACCTCATCCAAGCTGCTGAAGTGCAGTCAGGAGCCCAGTGGGGCGATGGCCAGGATCCTGCAGAAGGATTCCCAGGGCAGCACAGTAGGGCAGCTGCCCAACGAGACCCACAAGGCCAGGAGCAATTCCAGCAGCTTCTGCACCTCTCAGGGAAAGGACTCTGGCACCCACCTGCCCACTGGCCTTGGCACCAAGCCAGCTGTCTCTAAAGACTCTGACCTGGCTGCCCCCAAAAGCTCCGGGACAGCCACGGTAAAACCCTCCCTGCTGGGCAGTGCCACGCTGAACTGGGGCAGCACCACAACTCCACTGCTGGCTAAGAAACCAGTGCTCTCAGCCAGAAAGGTGAGTCTGAGCTTCCAGAGACTCCAGGTGACATCTTGTGCCTTCTGAACAGGTTGTGTAGGGCTACTGCCAGGCACCTGCTGGCCGTGGGTGGGTGGGGAGAGATCCCCAGCTCCTAACCCAGGGCTGTGGTGGCTGCTCTCCTCTCCGGGTGGGGTGTGGGACCAGCCCTGCCGTTGTCCACATCCCTGAGTGATACAGGGGATGGCTCCTGCCCCCTTGCTGGACAGAGGGGTGACTGCACCAGTCCCTTTAGTGGAGGGGCCTTGGCACCTTCTGGGGGTTGCCTGTCCCCTATGGCGGTGGTAGGGGGTGATGGCACAGCAGGAGGGTGTGGGGGTGCCCCCTCCACAGGCAGTGAGTGGGCTCAGGAGGGTGCACTGGGGTTCCAGGTCTTTAACTGTCTTTATTTTCTTTTTTCCTTTGTTCTTCTAACTGAACACACTTCTGATTCTTCCACTCCCCACTTTCCTGTCCCTTCCTGTGTCTCTTCTCCTCCCCTTTTTCTGGGCTCCCCTTTTTCTCTTGGCTCATGGAAACCTCAGCGTTAGACCACACGTGTTTATTTATGTCAATAACTGCAGGGCAAACCCTCTCAGAAGGTGAGCATGAATGACCACCAAGCACAGTCCCAGCCCTCAGCCACCACCCATCCTGACTCCACTCCTGGACCTCTGGACAAGTCCAGGTAAGCAGTGCTATTGCTCCCACATGGCAGAAAAGCCATTGACAGCCTTGGGTCCTCCACGGGGTATCTGTGTGGCCTTGCAGCCAGCTTTTCTGTTCTCTAGGGCTGGCAGGGCTTGCTCCAGATCTGAGAAGAGCTGACTTCAGCACAGAGTGGGAGGGAGTTTTGCAGGCCCTGACCCCGTACTAATGTCCCATGGGATCAGGAGGCACCAGCCTGGTCTGGATCTTGCTCTGGGTCTCCCTTGTAGCCTTCAGCAGCAGCACCCACTCTTTCCTGGTCTGCTGTGGGACCTGTGAGTGCTTGCAGAGCAGCATCTGATTGCAGTTTTGTGGACAAGATGGCAGCAGTTGGGTGTTGTGCTTCTGCACCTCAGGGGAGGAAGAGAGAGGTTTCCAGGCTTTGGGATCAGCCTCTCTTCCTGTTCTTCAGCCTGTCTTCATCTGCTCTTGAACTTCCCAGCCCTGGAAAGTCTGCCTTCAACTTCATGCTCAACTTGCCTGCTCAGCTCCCAGCCTCCCTGTTGGGGAGGTTTGGGAGGTTTTGGGGAGGTTCCTCTGCCCACAGCTCACAACACCTTCTTTGTGGCAGCAGGAACACGGGATCTGGCCAGCTGGAACCAGAGCGTTCCTGCAGAAAGAAGCGTCGGAAGAGGAAGCATCGTAGCACGGACAGGAGCCCTTGTGCTGTGGCTGTGAAGGACGTGGATGAAGTCTCCAGTCCTCCCAAGAAGGAGAGAATTGTTTCTCCAGAGGGCTTCAAGGACAAAGACTCCAGGTCCCCCAAGAAGGAGGACGTTGGCTCTCGGAAGGACTTCATTGATAAAGACTCCAGGCCCCCCAAGAAGAAAATTGTCTCTCCAGGGGACATCATGTCTGTCATGGGGAAGGAGGTGGCAGACAAGGGTCCCAGCCATGGTCCAGTCTGTCAGGACATGAAGAGTGGGCCCAAGCAACATGTGCCAGAGCCCAGTATTGACCTGGCCATGGAGCCAACTTTCCTTCTCAAGAGGAAGAAGAAGAAAAAAAAGAATAGGAGTAAAGACAGGCCTTTGAAGAAGACAGAAGAGTGCAGCTCTGGGATGCTGTCTTCAGACAGGTGAGGGACGAGGGGCATGTGAGAGCCTGGGGTCAGGCTCCCTGGGCTGTGCTGGGGGCTTCTCACCTTTCTGCAGGTGGGATGAACCTGAGCATGCGTCCAGCTGAAGCACCCACCTGCTGTGGGTGGGTTCACCTGTCCCTGAGTGCAATGCGGGTATCTGTCCCCTGCTGCTCTGTGGGAAGCTCAGACTGTCCCACTCTGGTCTGGCTGGAGTGAGCTGACCCTGCTGCCTTCCCCAGCTCCGGGACAACTGAGGCAGAGCCCTGTGAGACACATCAGAGCGTGGAGGCTGGAGAGCACAAGCACCGCAAACGCAAGTGGATGGAAAGCCTGGCTGCCAACACTGTCCCTGCCACCACTACCAGCACCCCAGGTGTGACCTTGTGCCCTGTCTGCTGCCTGGCAGGGCCAAGCCAGCAACTTGTGTGCCCAAGACCTCCTTGGAGCACTGCTGTGCCATCCCCAGTGCTTGCTGGTCCCACAGCTGCCTGGTGGTGCCTGTTCTCCTGCCCTGTCCCAGGCCTGCCTGCTGCTCCTGGGGGAGAGCTCAGGAGTCCTTGACTGTGCCCTGAGGGAGGAAGTGGGGACAGGCCCCTTGATTGACCCCCAGAACAGGCACTCGTGTGCCCAAACCAATCAGGACCTGTCTGTCCAAATGGTGTTTCCTGGGATGAGATCTGCTTTGGAGAGGGAGGGACATGGTAACTCCCCTTGGCTCATCCTCACCCTGCCTGTTTCTGCAGTGGCAGCACATCCCAGTGACAACCAGACTGAGGATCAGAGGCACTCCGTGGCTGCCCTGAGCCCTGTGGCCAGCAGTTGGGCTGGCACAGCCCCTGAGGGCCAGGAGTCCAGCGTGGTGGACAAGCTGCTCCAGAATTCCTTGGACAGGGCTTACGGCAAACAAGGTAATCCTGGCTCACCTGGGTGGGCAAACAGCCATGCAGCCCCCCTGCCCTAAGCCCTGGATGGGGACAGAGCCCCCCAGCTCTGCCAGGGCCTGAGCTCCCCCCACCCCAGTGCAGGCACGGGGTGCTCTTGGAACCAGGCAGGTGGGCACGGGCACGGGACTGATGGGGTTTGCACAGGGTGGGGAGCTGGAGCAAGGGGCTCCAGCCTTGGGTCCTTCTGCTGATTTAACTGCTCTGCAGTCCTGACCTGGCAAGGTGAAATTTCGGCCGTGAGCCAGGATGCCATTCGAGACACAGCACTGGCCCAAAGCAAGACCGTCATTGATGAGTGGGACCAGGAGTTTGACAAAGGAAAGGTGCGTGCTGGGCTCGGGCAGGTGGGACGAGGCTGGGGCCTCTGCACTCAGACCTGAGTGCTCTCCTACCTCTGCACAGGTAAAGAAAATGAGGAAGATGAAGCAGGAGCGGAGGAGAGACTCCAATCCGTTCCAGAAGTTGCAGAACAAGCGCAACTTCTGGTTGATGTCACATCCTGCCAAGATGGCCAGCTTGGGCCACCGGCTCTCAGGTAAGTGAGCCAGGAGGCACAGCGAGCCTGTGGGACAAAGGTGGTGACAGCCTGGTGGGGGCTGACACTGCTCTTTGCCTTACAGGGTGAGATCTGCATCCCCGACTGCTCAGGGAGCAGTCCCAGGTCAAGGACCGAGGGCAGCACTGTCCTGGGAGCTGTTGGTGGACCACGCTCAGAGGGGAGGGAACACAGCTGCAGCCCTGGGCTTGTGCCTTTTCCACCGGGGAGCTGCTTTTCCAGCTGCAGAGGAGCCTGCCCACTCTGCCTTGCCTCCAGCCTGCCTCGGCCAGGCTCCTGGTCAGCGTCTCCGTGCCTCTTGCCCTCCTTCCCCCAGCCCGCATCTGCGGGGGCTCCTGGCAAGTGCCTCAAGCCCATCCCTGTTGCTCCGTGCTGCTGTGCCTCCCCTTCCTGGCGTTACCGACCCTCACCTTCCTGCCCTCCCTCATCCATGAACCCCCTTCCCTGCAGGAGCTGCACTGGAAGCCCTCCCCCACGCCCTCGCCGGTCTGGCCCCGCGCTGGCGCGGGAGGCACCGGGGGGTTCCCAGCGGGGCCGGAGCGCTGCCGCCAGGGCTACGGGCATTGAAGGATGGAATGGAATGGAATAAATCCTGGTCTTTGTCACCCGGCCGGGATCGGCTGCGATCGCCAGGGGCGAGCGGTGGGGAGCGGGGGCACCGGTACCGGCGGGTGGGGGGGGGCACCGGGACGGAGCGCGCAGGGGGCGTGGCTCCCTTGGCTCCGCCCTTCGCGGGTCACGTGGTGCCGGCCGTGGCACCGCGGCGCGCTCGTCACGCGGGCGGGGCCGGAGCGGCGGCGGCGGCGGGATGGAGGAGGAGGAGGGCGGCGGCCGTGGTCAGTGCGGGCCGGGGATGGGTGGGGGGCTCTGGGGTACCGGGACACCCACCCGGCCCGGGACGAGGCGCCGGGCTAGTCCGTGGTCCCCGGTGGGCGGTGGCGGCTCTTCCGGGCGGGGCGCGTTTGGGCCGGGCCGCTCCCAGGTGCAGGACCGGGGGCGGTGGCTCTGGGACGGGCGGGGATCTGGCGGCGGCGGGACCTGTGCCCGCAGGTGACAGAGCGGCCGCGGCCTTGGCGGCATCGTGCGGGCGGTGGCGGAGGAGGAGGAAGCGCCGGGCGGAACTGGCACCTGGTGCCCGCCGCCAGCGCGGGGGCCGGGCGAGCGGCGGGGCCGGCGAGTTCCGGGCCGGGCGAGCTGCGGGGCCCGCTGCCCGCACCCCTTCCGCCGGCCGCTCGCCCTCGCTCACATGCTCCCATGGCACTGCCGAGCCCCGGCCCCGCAGAGCTCAGCGCGGGTCCGCCTCGATGGCGCCTGCTGAGTGTCACAGCCCCCCCGGTCCGGGAGCTCCTGGCCTGTGCCCTAGACTCGCTCAGGGGGTGCAAGGTCTCCCCTCTCATGCCCGTGCATTTTCCTCTCGCTTCTCTCTGCCCTCCGTGCCCGCAGAGCGTTCTCTCCCGGTGCTGAGGACCAGAAACGGGCAGGGATACCTTGCCTGTGCCGGGTGTCTCCCAGGCAGGTTCCCGTGTGTCGGCAGGTGGTTTTGCCTCGAGCAGGGACTTTGCTGAGAGGAGCTTGGAGTCTGGTGAGATCTGAGGCCATGGCCCCGGTGCTGGAGCCGTGCTGGTGCCCATTCTGCCAGGGAGCAGCTGGTTCCAGCGAAGTGCCACTGCCGGCAGTGCTGGTTCAGGGCCGGTTTCCTGCCCAGCTGTGCAGCCGATTAGGAGCTGCTGTTCCACCCCAGAAGTGACTGTGCTTGGCTGCGAGGACTTCGCTGTGTGAGATAAGGAAGGTGCCGGCGGCTGCGGCCTGGCTCGGGTGTTGTCAGACACAGCCCATTAGCAGGAGAGCGCTGTGGAGAGCGGTTCTGCCAGCAGCCTCTCTTGTGTTCCCGGAATCACCTGGAAGACATCCCGGTCATCCCGCCGTGGGGGATACAGGGAGTGCACAGCTACCTCCAGCCCCACCACTGCTCCTGTGCTGGGGGCAGCACAACCCACAGCTGCCCTGGAGCCCTTCAGCCGAGTTGGTTTAGCCAAGGACATTGTGCCGAGGCTGTAGCGTGGTGGGAGCCAACGGGGAGACTTCCTGGTGCGATTGTGTTGACGCCAGTGTCTGCCCCATGGCTCACGGCCTCTCTCCAGCCGTCTGCCTCAGCAGAGAGCAAATCCCGGGGTGAGCAGCTGGTGGCACAGATGTGTGCTCCCCCTGCTCCTGCCGGGGCGGGGGGCTGCACTCCCACCCCCTTCCCAGCATCTCCCCGTGGGAGCAGCAATGAGAATCCATCCCAGACCGAACTGACCGAGAGCAGTGGTGTGGGTCAAACGCCTCTGGACCATAGGGAAGAGGTGTCCTGGTGAGGAACCGTCCTGGCTGCTCCTGCCTTGCCGAGCTGCAGCAGCGGTGAGAGGATGAGGGGAGCACAGTCCTGTCCTGGCACCGTGTCCTGAGCTGGGCCCCAGGGAGAGGGGGATTGGGCAGTGCTGTAATCCCACTGCACCCGAGGGATTACCGCTCACTCTGGCCTGGGGATTAAGGGATTTCTCTAAGCGGGGTTGATGCAGCCTCCAGCAAAGCAGCTTGTGCCTGGGAGGCCTTGCTGTCTGGGGCAGGATGGGTGTGTGATGGCAGGGATGTACAAGGTGTGGGGATCCCCTGCAGCAGGCTGGCTGAGGGGCTTCTCACCCAGGTAGTCCCTGCCCTCCTCGCCACCAGCCTGCAATGTCCTGTTGTGCCAGTGAGTGCTGGCAGCCCTTTGGCACAGGCTTAGCTGTTTGGGAAGCATTCTGGGACCATGGCATGTCCCTGAGGACCAGGAACTGGGCACCAGGGAACACTGCTGGGAGAGCTGCTGCTGAGGCCCCAGCCCCTTCCCTTGCACAGTGCAGGTCAGCCTGGGCAAGTTGCTGGGCCCAGCTTGGGGAGCAACTTTTGCACCGAGCTCAGGGGATGGACTCACAGATCAAAGGCAGAGAGGGAGTGCAAGGGTAGCACCAGGCTTGGAGAGCAGAGCCAGGGGCAGAGGCTGTTGTCCAGTTGCTCTCCTGAGGTGTTTGGAGCAGAGAACAATGAGCCCTGCTGGTGACACTTGCAGTCATGTCAGGACTGTAGCTATGGTTTGTGAACACCACACCTGGCCTGGACAGGCTGCAAGGAACAGGGCAGGCATCCAGGTCACTCTGTGTGGGATTTGCCACCTGGGCCTGCCTCATGCCAGTCACAGACCCACGTGCCTGTGTCACACAGGGGTTTCTCCAGGTGCCAGTCCAGGCCCTGGCAGGAGGCACGTGCCCAGCTCAGCCTCCCCTGTGCCCCCGGCTCCCTTTGCCTGCCCTTTTGCCTCCTGGTGATGTGGCAACCGCTGCTCTGGCCCATGGGAAAGGGGAAGTGCTGCTGAAAGCAGAAGGTCAGTCACATCAGCAGCGAGTGCCTGGCTGCCCTCGCAGCCCTGGCAGCTGCCCTTCTCCCCTCTCTCCTCCTCTCTGCAGCCACTCTGCTCCTGGGATCAGGGACTGATCCTGCCAGGATGCCCTTCCTCACTGCCTGCCCCACTCGAGTTACTCCTGGCTCAGCGTTCCCAGTGGATGCAGGGGTGGGGGAGCAGAGCTGTCGAGCGGCTCCTGCCCTGACAGGCCCTGGGGTTTGTTACTCATGGCCATGCCCTGTGCTCAAGATCACTCCTGCTTTGAGGAAAGGAGCTGTCAGTCCGGTTTGGGTTTGCTCAGTGCCTGTGGGGTTGGAGGGTGGGAAGGTTGTGCATTTCCCATCTCCACAGCTGTCCCCCAGCCCGGAATCCCAGGACACGACCCCATAGTTCCTGCTGCAGGAGCCCCCCTCACAGCAGGGCCGCAGCAGAGTGGGCTTGGTGTCCGTGCTGGCACACAGGGCTGGCTGAGCCTGTCAGGCTGGGTCAGGGCTGGGACACGGGCCCTGTGCCCCACGAGTGGGGGCCGTGCTGGCACCCCCACACTGGCACCGCCGCGCTTCTCCGGGTGCACCTTCCTCCATGCGGCGCTCGTTGCTATGCGACCGCCGGCTCCTGATGCTTAATGCTCTAATACGGAGGGATAAAACCACTCTAAAAATACCCCGCTGCCAGCCCCCCGCGGGGCCAGGGGGGCTGCCGGGGGGCAGGCGGCCTGGCCAGGGGGGCTGCTGGGAACTTCCCAAACTCCTCGTCCTCTAAGTGGCTTTGAGGCGCCCGCTGGGGCTCCGGCGGTGGCACGGGCTGGTGTGCCGGGGATTGGCTGGGGCTGGCGCGTGGGCTCCTGCGGCTGGAGCTCCCCTACCAGAGCCAGCTCCAGCCAGAGCCGGGAGCGCTCCGGCTGCCCTGCCTGCGCCCTGCCCCACCATACCGGGGAGCTGCCCTAGGTACTGGCTACCTGCCCAGTACTGAGGAGCCACTGCTCAGCCACACACACCTACCTGGCCTCTGCCTGCTCCTGCCTCATCTCTGCCTGTCCCTGCCTTGCCCTCCCGGAGCTGGTGGCATCCTGCGTGGGACCCCCGCAGCATGGGGACAGTCAGCGAGCTCTGCGCCTCCAGTTTCCAGGCATTCCTGTGCCCCTCGGTGGCTGCCAAGGCAGGTAGGCACTGCGTGCCCCCCTCCCCTCCGTGCCGCGGGGTTCCCATCCCCCAGCAGACACGGCATGCCCATGGTTCCGGCTCCATATGGCTCTGGCTCCATATGGCTCCCTCTGAAAGCAGGACAGAGTGTCCTCGCCATCTCCTTCCTCTTCCTCCTTCCTCTGCTGGCCTTTCCAAGCTCGGGCCTCTGCAAGCACCGAGCCCCTTGCCTGGCATTGGCCTGCGCTGGAGCTGGTGCCATGCTGGGACAAGGGTGTTTGGGAGCCAGGGGTGGTGGCTGGGAGGTCACAGGCATGGCCATTGGCCATGGCATATCCTGCCTCAGCCCCTCATACCTACCCTGGAGGATGCGTGAGCACTCAGTCGCCCTCATCACAAGTGCCTGTGTCTACAGAGGAGAGGGTGGCACTCTCCAAAGGGAATTCTGTGTGGGAAAGCCCAGCTCCTGCCACGGTGTGGATGTGCTGAAGGTCAGCCACTGCTGTGACCTGCTGCTGTCTGCTGGTTCCTGCCCAGCTGTGGGACTGGGGGGTTGCAGGACTTCTTCGGGCAGCCCTGTGGCTGAGCACCAGTGGGCTCTGCTCCTCTCAAGGCCTGGCACCATAAGCAGTGCTGGGAGCAGGTGAGGGGCCTGCCTGGCTGCATTCCTTGCACATGCACAGTGTCTGTAGACGTGGCTGAGCTGGTGCTTACCCAACCGTGCTGGAGGCTGGGGGGGTCTGTGCATGGGAATGTTGGAGCCTTGAGCCACCAGGAGCGAGGTAGTGGCTGTGGAGGGGGTTCCTTGATGGGCTCTGGGTCAGGGAAGCGAGGTTAGTGGGGTGATGGGCAGGAGAGTGTCCTGAGCAGAGGGTCCTGCAGCCTAGGAGCGCCTGTCCCCAAACCCTCCTCCTGATGCACCTCAGCTGCCGGTGGGGAAGGATGGGGCTGACGCAAGTCAGGGTGTGCACGCAGCCGTGGTGAAAACAGGATGTGGTATGAGGAGACAGGCAGGATGTTTCTGGGGGCCCCACGGGACCCCACCAAAGGGCACAGTGTGTAGCCGCACCCGCAGCACACAGAGACCCTGGGTCACCCCCATGGCCTGCCTGACCCCAGGGCTGTTGTCCCTCTGGTGTGGTACAGCGTGGGCTGGCAGCAGGGCTCAGGGGGCCGAAGGACACCCCGAGGCTATTGAAGCCCACCCTCCCCTTACTCCAGAGCTGGCATTCTGGGTGCTGTGTCTCTATCTCATGCTGCTGGGCAGGATTTAGCTGAGTCAAGGCAGCCGAAGCTGGTACAGCCTCTCCGGGCGACTGACAAGGAGAGGGACGTGCTGGGGTTGCTCCCACTGCAGGCACGGCCCCGCAGCGCCCGGACTCATCACACAGAGCAGGGGCATCCCTACAGACACCCCATAGCAAGGGGGCAGGACCGTGGGGAACAGCATCCCGTGGGGACTGGTGTGGCTCCTGGTCCTTCTCCTGATTCCAGTTCTGTGGGAGATGCCATGGAGCCTGCAGCGGGGAGCAGGCACTGGTGGTCCCCAGGGCCAGCACAGGGCCTGGACCTGCCATGGAGGGGTCTGGCAGAGATGGGGCAGCTGCGGGGCTGGGAGGGGATCTGCTGGTGCAGGGGAAGGGAGGGGACCCCAGCGGTGCGCACTGAGCTCGAGATGTGCCGGGCCCAGAGTCCTGGCAGGCCCCGAGGAAGGAAGGGCTGGGCTAGCCCGGGGCCGGCCTGGCTGGGACCCCAGCACATCGCATCCACCGGCCCCGAGCCGAGGAGCGGGAGCAGGGCCGGTGCCCCGTTCCCAGCCAGCCGGGAGCACAGGAGTTAAGGTGCTGGCGGCTCATGGCGGCAGGAACTGGGTGTTGCTGGTGGCGGCTCCTGGCGAGGCCGGGATGACGCCCGGCAGGCCCCGGAGCTCATTGGCACAGGGGCCCTGAGTCACGGCGGAAGCACCGGGGCTGCAGGTGCCGCACCCGGCACGGCCGCGCCTCTGCTGGGCCCCGGCAGCTCGGGCACGGCCTGCGGGGCCGGGACGGGGCCTGGCACCATGGTGCTCCGGGCAGAGGGACACGGTGAGCCGGGTGAGGGTGGCTGCTGAGGGTGGCCGCTGAGGGTGGCCGGTGGCTCCGTGTCCGTCCTGCTGGGGGCCGCTCCAGGACAGCGGGCGAGGAGGCGACCAGGGCCCTGTGCCGCGGGGCTTTGCTTTGGGCGAGTGCGGAGGGGGCCCATGTACTGGCACTGCTGCTCTGGGGTGCCGGTGAGCCCCGAGACAGAAGGATAAATCCTGCTGTGGGAACCCCCGGCTCGCTGTGCTGCTGGGGAGGCCTGACCATGGCGAACCGTGCTTGGGCCCCTCTTGTGTGCCAGGCTGGAGCCAGGGGAAGTTTCTGTTCCGGCCTCCCGTCCCCCAGCATTGCTCTGCCTCTGGCCAGGCTCACCGGGGCTCTCCAGGGCAGTTGCTGTGCAGAGCCAGGGAAGGGTTAATGCCGCCTTCCTTCCCCAGAAAAGCTCCTGCGTCTGGGGTTTCTCTTCCTCTGGCTGCTGCTGACATGGCTGGGCTGCTTGTCACGAGTGCTCAGCCTCTGCCGGGGAGGGACCTTGCGGGGCTCAGGAGCAGCCCTGCCGTCTCTGCTGCCCTGCAGCGTCTCCTCCTGCACCACCGGGACCCCGGCTGGCACCCATGTCCTCTCCCAGGTGGGCAGGAACAGGCAGAGCTGAGGGCTTGCCTGAGGCCATCTCCAGCCCTGGCATGAGTCTGGCTTTCCCTGCGGCCAGGCCGGGGGGTCTGGCAGCTGGACAAGAGGGTCCTGCAGCTGGGCAGGAGGGTCCTGTGGCACATGAAGCAGCCCAGTTTCTATGTCTGATGAGCGGGTGTGACACAGCTCATCTCTCTCGCTGCGAGCCTGGGCTTGCTGGGCGCCCTGGGGGCTGGCAGTGCGGGCTGGTGCCGGTGGGAACGGCACTGGGGCACGCGGAAGGTGCTGGGATGCATCGGCACAGCTCTGGTACTGTAAGTAACTTCTAACCTGGTGCCACGAGTCGACTTGTCTGGCTCAGGCTTCCTGACACGGGAGACTGAAAGTATTGGGAAGTGTTGGCGTTGTGTCTGAGGGACAGTGTCGCAAGCCGAGGCGCCTCAGCTTTGGCAACAAGGGGTTGCGAAGGAGGAAGCTCCTGAGAGCCCAGAGCAGAGCTGGGGAAGTGCTGAGCTCAGAGATTCGGGGTGCAGGGTCGCTGTCACCCAGGAGCTCCACTAAGGCAGCGTGGATGCACGGCTGAGGACAGTGCTGGTCCTGCTGTGGGGCAGGGACTGTGCTGGGGACACTCTGGTGAGTCTGGGCTGGTGGCAGTGGTGGCTGTGTGCATGGTGGCACACCCTCAGCGGGTCTGGGGGTCATGCTTGGGGCAGGGGAGGGTGGTGACAGCCCTGTTCCCAGCACCCCAGGGCGGGAGGTGGGGGTGACACAAGAGCTGAGCTGGCAGATCCTGCTGCCACCTCCCCTGGGGACAGTGCTCTGGAGGAATGGTGTTTTGTGTCCTTGCAAGTGACCTTGGTGTAACGCACAGAACCCGCTGGCAGAGGTGGGAGATGTGGGTATAGTAAGAGGGCTGAGAGCACTCTTGAAGGAGCGGGTGACCTTGGGGACTGCAGGGAACAGCAATGGGATACCTTGTCACCGTGAAGCAAGGAGGTCATGTGCCAAGGAGCACTAGGAATGCTTCTGGAGCGAGAGGACCATGTGGTTGCCCTGGGTTTGAGCCTCAGAGATGGTGTTGGACAGGGGGTGTCTGGCTCCCCAGGGTGACAGGAAGGTGTAGGTGTCATGGTGTGCAGGCGAGGTCTGTCTGGAGGGTGCACCAGCTCCAAGCTCTCCCCCAGAATGATGAATCCATAGAGGGAGCTGCAGGAGTGGCCAGGAGCTGTTTGGAGCTGACCTGGTGTGGCAGAACAACCTGCAGGGCTGCAGGTCTGTGTGGAGCCTCTGCTGCAGGGCACAGCAGAGCTGCCCAGCCATGGGGAGTGGAATGAGCTCCCACACCAGCCTGGTTGGGGTAGAGCAGAGTGCAATGGGACTTGGTGGGGGCAGCAGGGCCAGGGCTGGCAGAAGCAGTGCTGGAGGTGATCCAGGGAACCGTGTTGGTTCTCACTCTGCAGCTGCCACAGTCTGAAGGAGTAGATGCCCTGGCCCTCAAATTCCTTTCATGCCGTTGGTGCCATTTGGCCTCAGTGTGGGGCTGGGGACGCTGCTCGCCAGCCCAGCTCTTCCTGCTGCCCAGCACCTCCACGTCCTGCCTCCAGCCGGGCTCACAGCTGCTGCCTGGGAGCAGAGGTGGTGCCAGGAGCCTGGCAGACTGATTGCCAGGACCACATATGCTGACCTGTTGGTGTCTCTGCCCAGTGCCCAGTGACCTGACCCCAGAGGAGTGCCAGGAGCTGGAGAACATCCGCCGCCGGAAGCAGGAGCTGCTGGCTGACATACAGGTGCGATGCCAAGGGCCCCACACAAATCCCCCTGTCCCACGGACAGCAGGCTGGGTGGCAGGACACAGTGTTCCTGCTTGTGTCACTGGCAGAGTTCCTGGAGCCCCATCCAGGATCCCTCACACTGCTTCCCCACAGCTCTTCCTCCGAGGGGCTCTGGGGACAGGGACAGGGTCCGAGCTGGGATGTGATCCCAGGTGACAGCCAGCTGTCCCTGCCCTGCCAAAGCAGCCATGCCTTTTCCTGTACCCTGCAGAGCTCCAGGCTGTGCAGTTGTGCCAGTATGTGCCAGCCCCTGCCTGGCACGGGCAGGGACCATGTCTCTGGGCCAGGCCACTGCCCTGGCAAGTGCCTATGAGGTCGTGGCTCATCTGGGACACTGTCAGTCGTGTCCCTGATTAAGGCAGCAGAGGCTAATTACTGCCATATGCTGGGCATGATCTGAAGGGATTAAGGGTAATTCTGTTAACCTCTGAATCTCTTCCTTCCTGCATGCTGGGAGCGTGGCAGAGCTGCAAGGATTAGCAGCGGGGGGCAGCCAATGCCACTGTCAGTGCCCTCGGAGCTGTTTCAGCCCCTGGGCAGCGCCTGGGGGGGAAGAAGGGAGGGAGGGAAGGAGGGGCTGTGGGGCCTCTTGAGAGAACGGGGCTGGAGGGTTTGTGGGAGAGGCACCTCCTTGTCTCAGTGCCCCCTCTCCCCACAGCGCCTGAAGGATGAGATAGCAGAAGTGACAAATGAGATCGAGAACCTCGGCTCCATGGAGGAGAAGTGAGTGCCCAGCGCCCCAGAGACCCTGCGCTGTGCAGGAGCCGAGGGCAGCTGAGCCCTGGCCCACGAGTGCAGGTGTGAGCAGGCGCTCTGAGCTCCTGGGAGTGGGATCCCAGACTGATCTGCTGCTCCCAGCTCTGTTTTTCCAAGCCCCAGCCCCTCTGTCTGGCCACAGCCACTGGCGGGTTTTGTTATTCTGAGCTGGTGCAGTCAGTGCCAGCCAGGATTAGGGGGGTCCCAGCAGCCGGTGGGAGCCGACTCCCAGCATCATTCCCAAGTCCCTGCTGGGGCATGAAGACTCTCCCCCTCTGCCTGCCCCACTGCTCTGCCCAGAGCCACAGCCAGCCTGCCCAAGCCTGCCGGTGTCTGGGTGCCCTGGCAGGTGCTGTGCCTGCACCCCCTCTGCTCAGGGTGACCCCAAGGACGTGGTGCAGCAGCTCTGCTCTGTTCCAGAGCCTGGCAGCCAAGAGCAGCCCCACGGCGTGGGGCACACACGGAGCAGTGTGTTGGCTTTGCCCTGCTGGGTCCAACATGAGGGCCTGGGTGCCCTCGGTCCAGGCTGACCCTCCCCACAGTGCACTGCCCCAGGGGCTGGACAGAGGCAGTGGGGCCCTGCCAGGTGCTCAGAGCTGCTTCATGCCTTGCAGGAAAAACACGCAGAGGAGCAAGCAGGTGGCCATGGGCAGGAAGAAGTTCAACATGGATCCGAAGAAGGTACTGTGGGATGGGGAGCAGGGCTGGTTACCTGCCTCTGGGGGTGTGCATGGCTCTACCACCCCCCAGTCCAGGTTCCTGGGGCTGGGGCAGAGCCAGCAGCCAGGACGGGGGCTGGGGGCAGGGGGCAGGCTGGCAGGGGCAGCCACAGATCCCCAAACATCTCTCTTTTACCTCTGCAGGGCATCCAGTTCCTGATCGAGAACGACCTGCTGAAGAACACGTGCGAGGACATCGCTCAGTTCCTGTACAAGGGAGAGGGCCTCAACAAGACGGCCATCGGCGACTACCTGGGCGAGAGGTGCACTGGGCTCAGCTTTCCTGGGGTGTTCTGGGCTCCTGCCACCTGGGAGATGGGACAGTGCAGCTCTGAGCTCACAGGGCAGCTGACTGGGGGTACCTGGGTTGCTGGGGGTATTCAGTTCATGGCTAGCACTTGCACGTGGCTGATTTGTGCAGACCAGACCACAGATCAAGCAGGGGGTAGCTGCAGCTTTCCCCCATGGGTGAGTAGAGTCTGGAGAAGGGCAGGGGCAGTGGAGCCACTCAGCAGTCACAGGATTGCTGATCATGCATCCCTCGTGCTCTGGCTTTGTTCCCACAGGGATGAGTTCAACATCCAAATCCTGCATGCCTTTGTGGAGCTGCATGAATTCACCGACCTCAACCTTGTGCAGGCCCTGCGGTGAGTGAGGGGCTGGGAGCTGAGCGTGGCCCTTTGGGGGTGCTGGGGACCTGGAGCCCCCAGATGAGCAGCACGATTTGCTCTCCACAGGCAGTTCCTGTGGAGCTTCAGGCTGCCAGGGGAGGCACAGAAGATTGACCGGATGATGGAGGCCTTTGCTCAGCGCTACTGCCAGTGCAACCCTGGCGTCTTCCAGTCCACAGGTGAGCTCCTGCCCCACACGGTCTCCCTGGCACCCTGCCCTGCAGCTGACTTTCCCCTCTGCCCCTTCAGACACCTGCTACGTGCTGTCCTTTGCCATCATCATGCTGAACACGAGCCTGCACAATCCCAACGTGAAGGACAAGCCCACGGCAGAGCGATTCATCGCCATGAACCGCGGCATCAATGACGGGGGGGACCTGCCTGAGGAGCTGCTCCAGGTGAGGGCCAGGGCCAGGCTGCAAAGCTGGCCCAGAGCAGGGCCCACCACGGGGCTCCAGGGCAAAGCAGGGCTGATTCCATGTCATTGTACCAGAATCTGTATGAGAGCATCAAGAATGAGCCCTTCAAAATCCCTGAGGATGACGGCAATGACCTCACCCACACCTTCTTCAACCCCGACCGCGAGGGCTGGCTGCTGAAGCTCGGTGAGTGCCAGCAGCAAGGGAGGGCAGGGTGCAATGCCTGTGGGCTTCCCACAGTGCTCCTGCTGGCCTGGCTCTTCAGAGCACGAGGAGGCTGCAGAGACAGGCACAGCCTTCATGGGAAGGCATCTGTACATCCAGCCCTGCATCTTCCCTTGGCTGGGCAGCAGGAGCAGACTGCGAGCTGATGAGGCCCTGAAGAGTGGCTGGGTGGGTGTCCTGGGGGATTCTGCCTCTAGGTTGGGCAAGCCCTTGGGTGCAGAGCTGGTACCAGGGTCTGGTGTCAGAGCACAGAAACCTCGAGGCCCTTGAGGTGACCGAGTCCCAGCAGGATGTGTCGGAGCAGGCCCCGGGAGCTGCCCCAGGCTGCGTGCGTCCCCCTCCATACCACAGACAAGCCCTGCCTCACCCTCCCACGGCATTACCACCTCTGCATCCCGGCTCCACATGCAGGCAGCATGCATGGCATCCCTGCTGCACCGCCCGGCTCCGCAGCCGGAGCCTCCGCGCCCTGGCTCCTGTGGCTTCTCTTCTTGGCACCTCTGGGAACCCTCTGCCCGGGTGTAGCGAGGGGGAATGGGGTTTTGGCAGATTCGGGGTCTGGTGAGCATTTCCCCAGGGTTCTGGCTGGCGTCAGAACTCCTGATACGTGGCCAAACCCTTGGGAGGGGAGAGCGGGAGCTGCCTGCTCCCTGCCCTGGGGTGGGGGGCACAGGAGGGACAACCCAGGCTCTCGTGTCCCGGATTGGCAGGGCCCTGTGCCCCCAGGTTCAGGTTGGCACCACCAGTGGGGTGGTGGAGAGGCAGCAAGGGACCCCAGCTGTCTTGAGGGGCAGGGAAGGACCCTGCCAGTCAGCCACGGGGTGGAGGGAGCCAGCCCTGTCCCCAGCAGCCCCATCCCACAGAGCCACAGTGAGCCAGGGCAGTGAAGCCCCCACGGCCCCGCCGCTGGCCCGACCCCTCACAGCTTCCCTGCTGCAGCCCGGCCCCACTGACCCGCAGGGCAAGGGGGGGCTTTGGGGTTCCTCTTTTTATTTTTTTTTCCTTTTTTTTTTTTTTAATTTTCTTTTCTCCCTCATTTATATGTTTCCATGATTTTGGCTCTTCCTTTCCTTGCCCCCAACTCCAGGAGGTACGTACCCCTCTTCCCTGCTCTGCTCACACTGCTGGGGCTTCGTTTCCTTTGCGTTTTTAATTGCTGGTGATGAGTCTCATTGCTGCTGCTGTTGCTGCTAACCCCACATGCCCGGGGACCTCGCCTGCTGCAGGACAGCCCCTCTCCACCTCCAGGCAGGGCCGTGGGGTGCTGGCCCTGCCAGTGCCATATGTTCCCCAAGGCCTGCGGCCTCCTCTGCCACCCTAGGGGAGGACGGGGCCACGGTGGCACCTTGGCACCCGCCCAGCTGTGCACCCCATGTCTGCAGACAGCTCAGCCTGGCCGATGGGTCTTTGCCTCCGGTGACACAAGGGATGGGGACAGGTCTGGGGCCTCCTCAGGAGGGGCCCCAGCCTGTGCACGGGTGGTTAGGGTGTGCCAAGTGGCTGGAGCTGGATGGGAGCAGGAAGGATCGGTCTGTGTGGTGCCCTGTGCTGTGCTAAGGGCTCACAGCAGTCTCCATGAGGCACCAGCACTGCTCCAGTGCCTGCACTGGGAGCATTGGTGCTGGCCCTCAGAACTGCTCTGGGGCAGGGACAGGGGTGGGCTGCCAGCTGGCACAGGGGAGCAGGGGCCACAGGCCCTTCCTGGCGGGGGAAGGAGGTGAGCAGGACCCCCAGTGTGCACTGTGGCTCCTCGTGTCCGTGCCAGATCCAGCCTGCAAGGGTGGGTGCTCATCCTGCATCCTGCATTCAGCACTGCTGCAATGGCTGTGGTGGAGGGGAGCTGGGCCGGGGGGGGAGCAGGGCCTGTGCCCAGGGACCAGCTTGTGCTGTGCTGGCAGCTGGGGAGCTCGGCCACGGCCTTGGGTGCAGGACGGGCCGGGGCTCAGGACGAACGGGACCATGGTCAGTCCCTGTGTCCTCCCCGGGAGCTGCTGGCCGCAGTTCCCTCTGGCTGTGCTCGGTCTGTGTTGGGGTGGGAGCAGTCAGCGCTCCCAGCCCGGCAGTCCCGCCCTCGCCTCCATCCTCATCCGTGTGCTTCCTGCTCTGGCTGGGGCGGGGTGCGCTGCCTGCTGCTCTGCTTGGCTCTGTGTGTGCGCCCGGGCCCCGTGCTGCTGGAGCCCCCGTGTGCCCGCAGGGCTGTGCCCGACTGCCCTCTCTGCTCCCAGGAGGCAGGGTGAAGACGTGGAAGCGCCGCTGGTTCATCCTGACTGACAACTGCCTTTACTACTTCGAGTACACAACGGTGAGTGGGCTCCGTGCAGGGTGGGCTGGGCTGGGGGCGTCCACCCCTCAGCTAAACCTCTGCTTGGCCACACCAGGATAAGGAGCCCCGTGGCATCATCCCCCTGGAGAACCTGAGCATCCGTGAGGTGGAGGACTCAAAGAAGCCCGTGAGTGCTGTGGCAATGTCCTCTGGGGTTTGGGGGCAGCTTCGGCTTGGGCAGGAAAGGCTGGGAGGTGTTGCAGCACCCTGGGATACGTCCCCAGGAGAGGCAGGGGGCCCCAGAGCAGTCACTGCCTTCACCATCAGAGCTGCTGGGTGCAGACCTGGGGCTGGGCACCACAGGGGCACGTGCAGGGCCAGGGGGTGACAATCACAGTGTGTCTGTCCCTCTCTGCCATGCTGGGGGGGCTGTGCCAGGGGTGTGTGGCTCTGCTTTTCCCTCCCAGTCTGGGCTCCCCTTTGGCAGTGGGGGCTGCCTCTGAGCGGTCTCTCCCTCCCAGAACTGCTTTGAGCTCTACATCCCTGACAACAAGGACCAGGTGATCAAGGCCTGCAAGACAGAGGCAGACGGGCGTGTGGTGGAGGGGAACCACACCGTGTATCGCATCTCTGCCCCCACGCCCGAAGAGAAGGAGGAGTGGATCAAGTGCATCAAGTGAGTGCTTGGAGGAGAGGAGCACGTGGGGCACGGTGCTGGGCAGGGCCACGGCAGGGACCTGCCTGCTGTCCTCAGAGGGGACAGTGCTTCCCAGGGCATCCTGCAAGGATAGGGGAACAAAACTTCCCCAGGTTTATGAGGGGACCTGCCCAAGGCCAGGCCAGGCAGGTCACACCCATCTCTGCAGCAGTCTGGCCTGACCCAGCCCTTGTTCCCCTGCCAGGGCAGCCATCAGCCGGGACCCCTTCTACGAGATGCTGGCTGCCAGGAAGAAGAAGGTCTCCTCCACCAAGAGGCACTAGCAGCCAGACTGGCCCTGCGAGGCCCTGTAGCAGCCCGAGTGTTCCCCTGTCACGGGGGCATGTGGGGCAGGGGCCACGCTGCAGGCTGGCCCTCGAGGCCCAGGGCCCAGCTTCAGCTTAGCCATTTCTTTACTGTGGGGGGAGGGAAGGGGCATCTCAGTGACTCTGGCCCCACATCACTGCCTCATCGCTGGACAGCGTCTTCACGGGCTCAAGCTGGACAGAGCACCCCTGTGCACCCCTGGGACCCCTGGCCTCAGCACCACGGGCACCCTCTCTGCCTCTGACCCCCAGGAATCCTGCAGCCACGTGGCTCTGGGTCCCCCCGGCTCCTGTGTCCAGACACTCCTGGGGTGTTCTGTCAGGAGGGGGAGCAGCTGTGGTGGTTTTGGGGTGTCACAGGTGCTGGGGTGCAGGGTGTCAGCCCCAGGGGGCCCCTGCAGAGATACAGCTCCTGGCCCTCGTTGTAGCGGGCCTGGGTCTGTCCTGGCGTCCCCACGCTGCTGCCTTGGACCTTCCCAGCCACCCCCTGCCCTGGAATGGTGCCCACAGACAGGAGGGATGAAGGGCAGGGACTCGTGATGAGCAGTGGTGCCACACAGGGCAGAGATGTGCCCTGACCCAGCCATGGGAGCTGTGGTTTGGATGTGGCAGCACTGGGTGCCATTGCCCCAGCACATCCCTGTGTCATGGCCCTTGTGCCAGGGTGGTGTGGTGCCATGGTGGGACATGCCCAGAGCTGGAGCCTGCCCTCGGGATGGCTGCGGGTGGGGATCTGGCTGGGTGGGGGCTGTGACCCCCAGCTCTCTCTGCCTCACAATCGCCTGTGTCTTGTCCTGCCCCCATCCCCACACACGGTCTGGAGGCGCCTGGATCAGTATTAGTCTATTTATCAGAGGTGTAAATAGTCCACACTGTATAGTTTTCTCCTTGTAGATGATTTTGTATGTGGGTGGTTGAGTGCAGAGGCCTCACAGGAGTGGGGCGGGGGGGCAGGATTTTTTATTCTAACCTCTTTTTTTTTTTTTTTTTTTTTAATTTGCCATGGCCTTGTAAACTAGTGCTGAAGATCAGCAACAAATAAATACTTGCACCACGCTTCTCTTGGCTTCCTGCGCTCTGTGCAGCTTGGGGTGGGCAGGAGTCCCCTGCCACTGTCAGCCCTTGCCCTGTGCCCAGCCTTGGACTGGGCTCCTGCTCCTCCCAGTCTGAGCTCTTGCTGTGCTGGGGGTGTTGGTGAGCCCCGTGCCTTGTCCAGCTGTCCCTGGCCACCAGGACAGTGCCTGGGGTACCTCACTGCAGAGCACAGGGTGGCTGTTCCAGCCTGGGACAGCTCCTGGTCCTGCATCCTGCTGTGGGCACCGAGCTGGGCTGGGCAGGGCTGGGGTTACCTGCTGCAGGTGGAGCACCTGGGGAAATGGGGGTGTGGGGAACCCTCAGGTACCGTGTTCTGCAATGGGACTGAGGGATTCATACCCAGCTGGTACCTGTTGTGAATGGGATCACAGCCAATCTGGGCTGATGGCAAAGCTGGGAGCATCAAGCCTGTGCCAGCTGCGCTGGTGCCATCAGGGCTGGAGGGGAGGTTACACACTTGTGCCATGGGAGGATCTGCCAGAGCATTCCCTGCTGCAGTCCCTGCCCGTCCTGTGCCTTTGGCACTGCGGCCTGAGGCTGGCCAGGGTGGGCAAGTAGCCCTTGCTGAGGGATGGGGGCAGTGCGGGGGGAAGGGGAGCCCTGCAGTTGGGCTGGTGCCAGTGCCTGTTGGGCTGGTGCACGGCCGGTTGGGGCACACACTGTCAGTTGAACTGTGGCACTGTCAGTTGGGTGCAGACAGAGTCTGGAGGCTGCTGGAGGCTTGAGGAGTGCCACAGGAAAGCCACAGAGCCAGGTAAGATTGGGGTGAGCCAGGGCAGCAATGGGGCCAGGCAGGAATGGGGTAGGCTTGGGGCCACTGGGACCAGGCAGGGATGAGACTGGCAGCTTCCCCTAAGACTGCATGTGCAGAGGGAAGGCTGAGGGCAGCGGGAGGGGCAGTGTCAGGGTGTGGGGTTTGCACAGCCCCTGGCTGAGCAGGGATTTGCCCACTGGCCCACCCCAGGTGCTGGCACGATGGCAGCCCCACAGGACGAGCGCTTGGAGCTCCTCGAGAGCTTGGCCACGGCGCTGCTGCACGTCCGGCCGGACAAGTGGGCCAAGTTTGTGGCCAGCGAGGAGACTTCAGTCATGCTGGACAAGTTCTTCAAGCTGCCAGAAATGCAGGAGCTGGTGCTGGTGCTGAACCCTGCTGGGCAGATCCTGCCCACTACCTGCTTCCCACCTGCCATAAAGGGCAAGGGAATCTACTGTGTGAAGAAGAAGGGGGACAGCATCACCGGGGAGAACTGTCGGGGTTCTCTGCTGCTGGGAGACATCGGCCCCTCGCCCGTGGAGCAGCTCATCACCGTGCTGCTGGAGGTGGGTTGTACCCACAGGTTTGGGGTGGGCAGGGTGAGCTGAGCTCCCTGGGTACACTGCTGCACTGGGACCCCTGCTGTGGGCTGCTCTAGCCAAATTTCCAGGTGGGCTCCAGAATGAATTAAAATTCACAGTGCAAAACGTGTCCCAGGCCCTCGCCCTGACCTTGCAGTGGCTTCCATGCTATGCTGAATGAGCCCCACCAGGACAAGAGCTGAGTGAAAGGTCACCATCCCAGTTTTCTTCTGGCCCCAGCTGGATCACTTCCTCACTGCAATTGTAGAAACTCATAATAATGCCCACTTACCTCTACCCTGCAGCTGGGAAATGTCTAAGTGGATTTGTCTCAAATTTCCTATAAATATTCCTGCTGCCAGTCCACAGCACCCAAAAGCTGCATCAGCTCCAGGAGCCTCCAGTATTCCCCCTCACTGCTGGGGGCTCTTGCTCGTGTGCCAGCCCCTGACTCCACTGAATGCATTCACTGTGCCACTTCCTGCACTTCCCAGGCCATGAGAGCTGGAAACCCAGAGCAGGGGTCTTTTGGTCACACTGATGAGATGAAGATCAGCAAAACCCATCTGTGGCCAACAGAGCTGGGGCTGTGCTTCAGTGGGCAGCAGAGGGGACCCTGGGGTGCCACTGCCCTGTGTACAGGAGGTCATGCCCAAGGGCCTGACCCAGCCCTGTCTCGCAGGTCGTGTCCCCTCTGCTCCTGAGCCAGGATGAGGGGTCGAGCTGGCCCAGGATTGTGGTGGAGGACATCGTGAGACAGACTCACAAGCTGCAGAACAAGCTGTTTGTGATGAGTGGGAAGATCCAGGGGAAGCCACTGCTCCCCCTGCCCGAGCACCTGGTCAGCTGGGATGATGCCGGTGCCACCATGGACAGGTGGGTGCTGCTGGCACCACTTGGTGCCAGAAAAGCCTGGCAGGGGCCTAGGACAGCATAAATCACTCAGGGAGAGACGGGAGCTGGGACACTGGCTGGGTCCCTGCACAGCCCTGGGCACAGCCATCCCCTGCAGCAGCGTTTGAGGGGTGGGTTCATGCCAGGAACCTGCACCAACAGAGATGCAGGCATGACAGGCTTCCCTAGGGCTGTCTGGGCTTCTCCTGGGGCAGTTCAGGGCTGCCAGGGGCCATAACCCATCTGCCTTTCAGCCTGGTGGAGCCCATAGATGGTTCAGTGCTGCACTCCATCGAGACTGTCGTCATTGAGTGGTTCCAGCAGGCTGAAGAGATCTTCAGCCAGGACCCAGCACAGCAACTGCTGGAGGGGCTGCACCCCCTGCCCAGGGTGGAGTTTGATTTCTGGCAGACCAGGATGACCAGCTTGGAGTGCATCACTGAGCAGGTACTGTCCCACCCATGGTGGCTGCACGTCCTCGTGGTGATCCCCCCGTGCTGAGCCCCCCGTGCTGAGCCTGGTGCCTCTCCCCTGCCAGCTGCACTCGCCCCAGGTGTCAGTGCTGGCCAAGGCACTGGAGAAGGCTGACAGCTGCTACTGGCCCTCCCTGCAGAACATGTTCAGCGCCGTCACTGGGGGTGAGCTCCATGACATGGTGGTGGCTGCCTCCAACAGGGTGTCCTCTCCCCAACACAGACCTTGTCCCTGTCCTAGGTCTGGAGGAAGCCAACGATGTCAGCCTCCACCTGCAGCCACTGCAGGCACTGCTGGAGGAGATGGAGCAAGCAGATTACTCCCAGGTAAGTGATATGTGGCAAAATAACCAGGCACAGCCTGGTGGCCTCATCTGGGCAGCAGCAGAGCCCCTGAGGCCTCAGGGGGACACATCCCCTGGCTCTGCTGCAGCCCCTGACGAGGCTCTGCTCCCACAGCTCCGGTCCTTCGTGCCCAAGGTGCTCTGCACTGTCTGCCTGCTCCGGGCTCACTGCGTGCACTACCACTCACCTGCCCACATAGCCCGTATCCTGCAGGAGATCTGCAACTTCTTCATCAGCCTGGTACAGCCCCAGGGCCAGCATTCACCCACCCTGTCCCCTCCAGCTCCCTCTCTGGGGCAGATGTGGAGATGCAGTCGTGGTGATGGAGACACCCTAGACAAGGGAACAGCAGAGCCCCACAGAGGGCTGGGGAGAGTCTGGGGCAGGCACGGGCTGCAGGGGGTGAGGGGCAGGAGGAGCCTCCACATCCTCCTGACAATGGCCCCTGCCTGTGCGTGCCCCAGACCTACAAATTCCTGAACCCGGAGGACATGCTGAAGGGGCTGCAAGGAGAGCCCCAGGAGACCCTGGAGGGACTCAAACTCGCCATCTCCACCACAGAGAAGTTCTTCCAGTCCTACAGCACTTACTGCTCTGACCTAATGCCCACGCTGTTCCCGGTGGGTGCAGGGATGGTGCAGGCACATCTGCCCCCCTGCACACCAGCACCAGACTCACAGCCCCTCTCCCCTCCAGGAGCAGCCAGAGCTCTGGGAGTTCCCTCCCACTCAGCTCTTTGGGAGGATGGACGCCTTCTTGCACAGGCTCGAGGCCATCAAGGTGACAGCCCAGCACTTCAGGGCACAGTGCCAGGCTCAGCCAGGCCTGGGCATCCCGGGGTGGGAGTGGCACAGGGTGAGGTCCCACAGCACTGGGAGTTCAGTGCCACCATTCCCAGCCCTGAGCCCCCATGGCACGATGGGCACACCCTGGCCAGGCTGGGGAGCACCCCTGTGGGGATGCTGGCAGGACACAGCCCTGTGCTGGAGTCCAGCCAGGTAAAATGGGGTTTATGTTTGCCAGGAGCTGTTCCAGGCAGCTGTCGACTTCCTGAAGCTGGAGAAGACAGTGCTGGGAGGGGTGCGAGGAAACTTCCTCGGGGCCTGGGTGCTGCGGATCTCTGAGGAGATCTGTGAAGCCACCAAAGCTTTTGCTGAATGCAAATATGATCCCTTGGATCCCGATGAAGAGGTGAGCAGATGCTGGAGTGGAAATGTAATGGGTGCTGGAATGGAGGTGTTAACATTGGCTAAGTGAAGAAAAAAAATCTCTTTGTGAGAACGTGCTGCAGAGGGACACATGGGACTGTCCCACAGCAGCACAGGGCTGGCTCTGGAGCAGGTCATGGGGACCCTCTGAGTTCAGCAAATCCTTCCTGAAGGATTTGGGAAGGAGGCACAGGGGTTGTGCCACTTCAAACCATTTTGGTCTCAATGGCAGCAATGGAACAAAGACTTTGAAGAGTTCCAGAAGAAGGCTGAGGATGCAAACAAGCAGCTGGCTGCCATCTTCTGCCAAGGCTTTGATGACTGTAACCGCCTGACAGCTGCTGTGAAGGTACCCGTGCCCAGCTCAGCAGTCTGGCACAGCTCCCACAGGAACTGGGGGTCTCACCCACCCTGGGGCTGCTCCAGGGTGCAGGAACCAGTGCCTGCCTCTCTTCTGCAGCTGGTGCACATGTTTGCCTCCGTGCTGGAGCGGCCCCTGATCAAGGCTGAGGCTTCCCCCTGCTACACGGCCCTGCTGGGAATGTTCGAGGCAGAGCTGGAGAGCGTGAAGGCGCTGTATGACACCCGGATGGTGTCCCCACCACCCCACGGGGGGGCCCCAGCCATCCACAAGAACCTGCCACAGGTGGCCGGGAAGCTGAAGTGGGCTCTGGAGCTGCAGCAGCGGCTGGAGGGGCCACGCAAGGACTTGCTGGCCATGGACCACCCGTAGGTGCAGGTCCCCTGTCACCCCACGGGGACACAGGGCAGGACCAGCCTGGAGCGGGTCCCCTCCCGCGTCCTGCTGCCGCAGCTCTGTTGTGGCTCTGACAGTGCCATGGTGGGTGCTGAGGCTGACACGGTGTCCGGGAAGTACGAGGAAATGATGGGGATGCTGCAGAGTTACAGCAAGAGGATCTACGAGGAATGGGCGAGGGGACCTGGCCAGGACTGCCACTTCAGCCTGGAGCAGCCCCTGCTCCGGAGGGACCCCGAGTCCGGGCTCCTGCACGTGAACTTCAGCAGAGCGGTGGGTGCTGGCACGGGCAGCACCTGCACCCCTCCCTGGGGTGAGCCCGGGGCTGTCTGAGCTGCACGGGGGGCTGCTGACAGCCCCTCCTGGCCCTGCTGTCCCACAGCTCTCTGCTGTCCTGAGGGAGGTGAAGTACCTGCACATCCAGCAGAAGCCCGACATCCCCAGCAATGCTGAGAGCCTCTACGCCCAAAATGAGACTTTCCAAAAGATAGGGGACAACTTGGAGCTCATCGTGGGCTGGTACAATGAGGCAGGTTCTGAAGGGGAGACAGCTCAGCTGCTTTTCCAGGCTGAGAGGGACTGGGGGGGGTTGGGTACCACAGGCACATCACTGGCACCTCAGCTCCCTGCCCACCCTTGGCTAAGCCAAGCCGTGGCTGCTGCCATCCACCCCCGGCCCCCATCACTGTGTTGGTGGGGTGGGGACCCTGTTCCTCGGTGCTCACTGAGGATATGTTGGCTCAGGTGAAGCAGCGCTTACCTGTGGATGTGCTGGCTCAGGTGAAGCAGCACTCACCTGGGGATGTCTTGGCTCAGGTGAAGCGGCAGCTGATGCCAGTGGAGAAGCCACTGCTGGAAGAGGAGCTGGAGGCCCTGGATGTCCGTCTGGCCACTGCTGAGAAGACTCTGTTCTGGAACCATGAAGGTACAAACCCCCACTTTGACCGTCCAAGACTGGGGATCCTCCTTGTGCATTTTGGGGGTCCCTGATCCCCAGGACCAGCCGACCTCCCACTGCCCTGGGGGATGTCTCCACAACGTGATCGTGTGCCCTTTTCCCTCCCAGGTGTCATGGAATACATCCAGGAGATGAGGGAGAGCCTGCATGACCTGCAGAAACGGGTCCAGAGAGCGAAGCTGAACCTACAGAACATCACCCAGCTGATGGAGGTAATGTTTGCTGGCATTCACAAGCCGCTGTCTGGGACACATCCAGCCGGGGTCGTCCTCTCCCTGGCTCAGCAGAGCAGCCCATTCTCTCCTCCCTGCAGAACTGTTCAGCCACTCCCCTGTTTGGAAGAAAGGACAACAAGGAAACTGCGCTCCTGGACCTCGATGGGAAAGAAAACGCCTTAGCTCAGCGCCGCGCTGTCATCGGGAGCACAGGAGAGAAGATCCAGGGCATGGTGAAGGTGAGAGCTGGCCCTGCAGCACGGGATGGCTCCCAGGGGCACGAGGAAGGACCCGAAGCAATGTCAGGGTTCACTGACAAGCACTGGTGGTTTTCTCGTGCAGGAGAACGCAGATCTGTTTAAGGCTGGCTTGTCCTCGAGGATATGGCTGGACTACGTGGCTTACATAGACAGAATCGTGTTGGATGGGCTCTGCAGACTCGTCCACAGAACCCTGCAGCTGCTGCTCACCAACATGGACCCTGAGGTAAGTCCTGGTGTTCTGGCAGTGCTGGGTGTCCCCGTGCTGGGTTAGGG